AGGTTTTCGTAAGTGGAATTGGTTTATCCAGAATTCTGGAGTCTTAATATACCTTTCTGTGCACATCAAAACGCAAATATATATATGTATGTATGTATGTATATGTATGTATGTATGTATATGTATGTATGTATGTATGTATATATATATATATATATATGTATGTATATATATATAATATTAAGTGTTCTAGTATAGGGTCGAGTCACCTAACTCATCCACAATTTCCTCTAAGCTTCGTCCGATCAATACTCTATTTCCCAGTCTTCTGTCCACTGATCGATGGTGTACCTGCCAAAGGTATTCCGATACCATGGTTAGTAATAGTCTGATCGATAATTTGAATATTGTAATAAATGTGCAATTAATGAATCTGTCTACCTCTTACCTTTGACCTGTATTTATAGTTTAGGTTATGGACTTTGGATTAGCGAGACCTTAATCAAGGCCCAATCACTAATTAATCAATGTTTTACCTTAATTGACTGGGAGCTCGCTTACTATATGCAATCATCGAACCTCATCAACATTCGTTTATCGTCCGACTCTGGTCGTCCAGGGGATCCACCAATACACTAGGCCCCACAAGCCCTAAACAATCTGTTGTCATTGGGGTTTCAATGTTAAATGGTCGGAGTAAGCGTCAAGGAAGTTGAACATATGATGGTCAGAAGCGCCATCGACTAGGCCATCAATGTTGGGGAGCGGGTGAACGTCCTTAGGACATGCCTTGTTGAGGGTGGTGTAGTCTGTGCACATTTGCCACTTTTGCTGACCTTCCTAGCCATGATAACATTTGCCAGCCATGTGGTGTATGTCACTTCCCTAATAAAGCCAACCTCCTTCAGCTTTCTGACCTCTCCATCTACTGCCTCCCTCTTCTCCGCTCCTATCCATCTTTTCCTCTAGGTGACTAGCTTTGCTTCTTTGAATAAGGCCAAATTATGGGACATTACTGCGGGGTTGATGTCGGGCATGTCCACTGCAGCTCCCGCTCTACCTCAGGTTCCAAACCTCTTGCCTTGCTAGTGACCTGTTGGTCGCCTTGTCCCACCTTAAACTGACACAATTGTCCTAGCGGTTTGATCCGACCATCTTTCACCGGGTTGACTAGGGATAAAGCCTTAGCCCGGTTGCATAGCATTCTATGGCCATCCTTTGATTGGCCCGAACGATGAACATCGTTCCCTTCTCTGATGGGTACTTCATGGTCAAGTGAAGGGTAGATACTATAGCTCCAAATGCGTTCAGGCACAAACGGCCTAGGAAGACGTTATGTGACGTGTTAGCCTTCACCAGCAAGTATCAAACCTATTTTCATCACCACCCGCTTGGCGACGAGCCAGGTATGAAGGTCCAATACCTTCGCGTGTCCACCCGTTCTTCGGCGAAGTCCACTATTTGTTTGTTATAAGGGACGATTAGGTCCTCCGATAAGTCCATGCGCTGAAAAGTCTTCCAGTATAGAATGTTAACGGAGCTTCCTTGATCGATCAACACCTTGCTCACTTCATATCGGGCTTTCTCTGCAGTGATTACCATGGGATCGTCTTGATCTAGGTTCGGAGCGTGGAAGTCTTCGTCTGTGAAGGTGATGGGTGGCATGGTTTTCCTAGTCTGATCCACGGCATGAACGGAGCGGAGGGCTCGGACGTGAAGCTTCCTAGATGATAAGGATGATCCTTTCCCTACGAATCCTCCGGAAATGGTATTGATATGGCCGCCTAATGGACGGTCATTACTCTTGCTAAGACTCCAACTATGCCACCTCTATGATTAGGGGCGGTCATTTCTGTTGTACCGCATGCAACCGCGATCACCTGGCCTTCTTGGACACCTCCTCCGTGGAATGCATCGTCGTCGTGACGATTCAGCCTAACGGTCGGTTTTGATGTACTTTTTCAACTGACCCACCCTAATCAACTCCTCGATTTGGTCCCTAAGGGTCACACACTCTTTAGTGTTGTGACCCAAGTTTTTGTGGTATAGGCAATGCTTATTGCCATCGACTCCGGGCAATGTTGGGCGCCTCTTAGGCGTCTATATTAATTCGGCGCTCAATGCTTCTTGTAATATTCTCGTGTGGGGGGCGTTTAACGGGGTGTACTGCTAAAAATGCACCCCCTAGGAGGCTCTTTCAGCCTAAATCCTCCGGTTTTCTCTGTCGGCCCTACATGCCTCTTTGCCACCAACTTCTCCTTTACTTCATGCGCCTCCTTTCGCTAAGACATCATTTCCTCCACCATTATTTCATCAGTCGCCTTCTCGCGCAGCTTCTCCAGGGTCTTCGGTGCACGCCAGCAGACACTATCCTTGAAAGGTCCCGGCTTGAGGGTGGGCAGGACATACTAGAGGGCAAGTTCGGTATTGAGGCCCTTTACCCGCCAGACCATCTTCTGGTAACAGTCCATGAATGCCTTTAGCGTCTCCTTCTTCTCCTGCTTGAGGCTTGATAATTAAAAAATGGTTAAGTCTTGGGAACGGCTACTTGCAAACTGTCAATCGAACATAGCTTTCAAACCCTCATAGTTTTCAATAGAGTTCGGGGGCAAAGAGTTGAACCACTCCAAAGCCTCCCCTTCCAGCAACAAAGAGAACGCTTGACACCAGATTGCCTGATTCCCTGTGTGAAATGTCATTCGATCGGTAAACGCCTTAATGTGATCGTTTGGTTCGATTGTCCCATCATAAATACAAAGTTGAGGTGGGGAAAACTGTTCGGATATGTGAACATCCATGATGGCTTGGGCGAACAGTAAGTTTCCGGAGGTATCTTCGGCCTTCATCACCAACTGTTTAGTCATAGCGACGCTTTCCTTAGGGGCGGTCTTGGCTCCATTCGCTCCTACCCCGGACTCGGTCAGCCTCCACGTTTCGTTCGACATACTACTGTGTTCAGTCCTTTCCCTTTTAGCGGCCTTGCCGCGTTCTTTGTCAGCCTTCTCGCCTGCTTCGGCGTCCTTTTCCCCAACGATCCGAGCTTAGTATTCTGCCCGGACAGTTGTTAACTCCGTCTCGTGGCATTGTTGCATCTCTTCCATTCTTTGGTGTAGCATCCTGATCATCTCAGTTGGGTCTTCAGCGCTCATATTCCTAGTGGTCATCATTGGGTCTTCTAAGTTACTCGGCCCCACGGTGGATGCCAAAATGATCTGGTATATGGTCGAGTCACCTAAGTCCTTCACAATTTCCTCCAAGCTCCGTTCGGTACTTTGGTTCCCAATCTTTTGTCCAACGATCGGTGGTGTACCTGCCAAAGGTGCTCCGATGCTAAAGTCAGTAATATTCCGATCGGTAATTTGAATACTGTAATAAATGCGCAATTAATGAATCTACCTACCTCTTACCTTTGACCTGTGTCTATAGTTTTGATTATGAGCTTTGGGTTAGCGAGACCTTAATCAAGGCCCAATCACATCCCAATCACTAATTAATCAATGCTTTACCTTAATCGACCGGGAGCTTGCTTACCATACGTAGCCGTCTGGCCTCATCACCATTCGTTTATCGTCCGCCTCTGCCTAGGAGATCCTCCAATATATTAAGTATGTTTTTAATCTTTAAAATTAAATTAAATTAATTTTTTCATTTTTATATATTTTTGTATTCAAATATTAGCTTTTGCTATATTAATCTTTTAAATTTGTTTAATAGTATTTTAGGTTGATATTTGAGTTGAAATATATTAAAACGATGTACAATTTAAAAGTTATTCTAAAATATATTTAATACATAAAAAGTTTAATACATTTATATTAAGAAGATTTATATCTATTTATTTGAAACTTTATAGAAACTAAAATACATTAAAATATTAAACAAAACTAAATTTTAATTTCAAATTAAAATTTAAAAACTAAAAATATATTTAACATGACAGGAACACTAACATATACTGTAATATTACACTCCAAAGGCATTATGAATATGCATCTTCATGTTTATGCCACACAAACAAAGTACCAGCACACGAATTTATTGTACATACAGTCCCTTCATCCTTTCAGCCAACACCATTATTTGATATTTCATATTTGTTGTTTTTTTCATAACTTTTGGAGCTATGCTTTGATAAGATTGGCATCAACTTCTCTGCTTCCTTTGTACACGAATTCGAGGAAGCCAAAAGGAGGATCAAATTCCTCACTTTTAGTTTCATATTCAATGATCCATTTGATGACGACACCACCTTCATCTTTATGAATTGCTTGAAATATTAGCTTAAAAACCTTAAATTTGTGCTCCAAATCTTCCCCGAAGATCTTGTAGGTTATTGTTTTGTTGTCTTCATCAGTGGATTCAATACTCTCGTGATATTTTGTAGCCTTACCATCTGCTTTTACAAGTAATTAATACCAATAACATAAATACACGTAAGAGTTATAGAACAAAATGAAATCCTTTTATAATTTTATAGAATTACTTTTATATATCTTAGGAGTTAAAACTAAGAAGAATTTAGATGTATTTTGTTTTCTTAACCCTTTGAAATATCTCTTAAACACAACAAATTTAAATGTATTTTGTTTTCTTAATCCTTTGAAACATCTTTTAAACACAAAATTGTGATAGTGTTGTAAGTTCAAAATATTTCATATATAATGATTAATCTTAATAATATTATTAAGGTTGAAACAAAAATCATTAAGAAATTAACCTCGTCATAGTGTGTTTTAGGGTATGTCCTGTTATTGGTTCATATATCAAATATGACTACTTTGAACTAAAAAGAACGTGTGGCTAGAATCTAGAAACTAAAACTGAAACAAAGAGAATTATTATTATTAAACTGAAATACAATAATTATTATTATAAAACATTTAAACTGAAATAACCTACCATTTTGGTTTGCTAATTAATTTAGATAGAAGTTTAGTTACCTATGGTACTTGTCCATTGTTTGATGGACTCATTGTGATGCCAGTCTTCACCATGATGTAGCTTTGTTTCATGCACTTGATCAGTAAGGTTTTGAACATGGTGGAGTTGCGTTGCCAATAGGTTGAACCACTTTGCAGCACTTCCATGAACCCCAATTTCAATGCTGAGTTTGCCAGCGAGTGACATGACGAAGAAGAAGCAAGTAATATATGAACAAACTAATGAAAATGGTGGAAGATGGAGAAGAATGTTGCCACCATAATCCAACTTATATACACATACTTACCTACTTATACTCCTCACAACGAACTAATTTATTATGGTTTACGAATAAATTTTCCTTTGAAATCTTCATGATCTATATCTTTAATGATGTAAAGCATAAATAACCATTACACGCATCACAATTATATATACTAATGTCAACATGCATTTCACACGAAAGTCAATTACTCATTTTAATTTAAAAGTCAAAGGAAAAACAATACTGAGGTAACAAAAGATTTTTCTAAATATTTTATATGTAAAATATTTCTTTGGCTTGAATTGATTTGAGTTTAAAAAATGATCAACAAAACGTATATAACACTCAATATGCTGTTATTCTCTAACTAATTCTATTTTGAAAAATTCAAATAATATAAAATACAGTGGGGACTTATAAATTAAAACGACGACTTTTAGAAATGCTGGATTACCACAATTGCTGGATTACCTATAATGCTTGTATAGAACTGAAAGAAATTTTAGAAAATCAAAATGAGTTTCTGGTGCGTGAAAACTGGTTGGTGTTCCGGATGAAATCAAGGGAGACAATATCGCTTCTCAATACTCAGTTCTTGTGATATTGGAGCATGGGGTATATAGTCTAAGCAGCCTGTAGTGTAGTTTCTGGTACAGCTTGTGGTTCAGCAACCTACGATACAACAACGTTGTGATGTAACATATTGTTGTTCAGCCTATTCCAATATGATATGGCGCGACTTATTGTTTAGTCTATTAATGCATAAAAGGAATATGATAACGACTATTTTCATCAATTGGCATTAATTTCATAACCAAAACAAATTCAGACAAGATAAATATGTGTTTTCATTTTGATTTTATAACAAAGAAAAATATATAATAATTATTAACAGATTTTTTTTTCGATAATTATTTACAAGACAGATAAAAAATTTCATCAACAAATACTTGTCATAAATTCATAAAAAAAATCATTATCAATGTATTTTTAAGTTTTTAACGAATTTTGGTTGTAAAATAATATTTTTTTTTCCTTATTGTTCATGTAACAAATCTAAGCATATAAGAATACAAATAACCATGCCAGGACACCACTTTACCACACAACTCCTATTAACTTTTATTCCAACCACATTTGTCTTATCCAATAAATCTATTAGAATTATCCTCAACAATTCAAGTAAGTTTCCAAAACTTGCAGCGACAACATTTCGTCTTTAACAATGCATTCATGAAGAGAGGAAGAAAAATAACTTAAAAACTATGTTTAAACCCTTTAGTTGTCATTATTTATGTGGGATTTTCCCATTTGTTCCCCTTCTTATGAGAATCCCCAATTGAGTCCTTATAAGTGCTAATTTGAATCAATTGAGTTCATGCTATTAAATTTAGTCACTACAAGAATCGCGCTTATTACTGGCGGAATATTATCGAAGGACTTTCGGCCGTCGGTAAAACTGAATTACCGAAGGCCTTGGAAAGCATTACCGAAGGTGTGTGGTGATTTAATTTAGCGAGGGTGTTTGGCCGTCGATAAGTGGCCCGACTTAAGCATTTAGGCGTATTGGAGGAGTTTGTCTCTAATTTCGTTCCACTCGAATCCCTATTGGTGCCCCAATTAGAAATTTCCCTCTCGTCCTTTGCTTCCATTCTCGCCCTCTCCCTTCGCGTTTATCTCCCTCTCCCTTGGCGTTTATCCGTACTGGCGGTCATTGGCATTGTGTGCCGATATCATTGACAGCAAAACCTTAGTGGGTGGTTGGGGTTGTTTATTTGGTTAGGATTCTTCGAAACGTTGTCGGTGTTGAGGATGGGGTGGTGGTTAATGGTGTGCGCTTCAAGCTGTTGCAGCAGAAGGGGTGCTGATTAGTGGTTGTTGGCGTGTGTAAGTCATTGCAGTGAAGCCAAGGTTGGTTGTTGAGTTGAGAGCTAGCAGTCTTCCTTCGATCATTCTAGAGTACGAGGTAAGGTCTTTGTTTTAGAACGCGTCCTCAATAAATTGTTTGCCCAGTTCATGCCTATATGTGTGGAATGTGTTTTGTGTTTATGGATATTTTATAAATTGTTTGTGTTTCGCGTGGTTAAGCAGGTCTGATGTTCATTTATTGATGAATGGGCATGTGTATAGAGTTAAATAAGAATGATTGTATGAAGTGAAGTAAGTTAAATTGAATCTAGTTAGGATGTAAATGAACATAATAAAGTAGTAACTAAATTATTCTAAATATGTCCTTCACTGTGTTAACTAATGAACATGTGTATTAGGTAAGGGAGGGGTTAGGTTCATGATAAATCAGGATTAACAGGGGTTTCATTAAATGAAATGGGGCTGTTTTGGGAAGTACGATAAAACTGAATGAAGTCTTATAATTGTTTCTTTTGTGGTTGTCATAAACTAGTGGCTGCACTATCAACTCAACATTAAAAATGTTTCTCTTCATTTGAAACCTTCCCTTTCTCTAACTTTTTCATCTCCACCTTTGGTGCAACTAAGTATGAAGAGAGCATAAATGAACTTACAAAGAAATTTAGCACAATGAAAAACAAATAATAAGACCAAAAGAAGCATGATTCAGATTTGAGAATTTAATTTCTTGGGGGAATTGAATGAGAATATGCACATATCAAGTTTCTGAATAGTTTCTTACAATCAATGTAAAAGTATTGCACAAAAAATGGTTATCTCTTAGTGCAGAATGGCAACACCCATATTAGCCTTAGTTTCCTAAATAGCTATTTTCTTATGCAAGCTACTTTTATAATTTTAAAGTTGATTCCTAGGCTTTTGACCTGCAATCAAAGTCTTTAACCACAAACAATTAGTCTCAAAGTGTTGTCTAGGTAATTTTTGCCACAAAAATGACTCACAATTTGGTGGTTTAAGACACGAAATGTCACAGCAGTGACTGTAGCTCAAAACTAATCACTGCTGCAACTTGGATTAATGTTTTGAAACTTGTTCACACTTTGAATTGGCTCAAATTCAAACTGTTACTCAAAAACACCTTGCCACTTCCCAATTTTGACTGAAAATTGAGGGTTTAGTATACTATTATGCACTTAGACCATTATACCACTAATTGAACTCTGCTAGCAACTTTTAAACATCATTTTAGACTTGCTCAAACTGTCAAACAACATAGAAATGGTAGCATTCGAAATCTAACTTTGTTATGGCCAAAAATGCAGAAAAATCACTCCATCACAAAAGCAAAACTAAGTTTATAAGATTCAATGGACTAGGAAATAAGTTTTGGTGATTTGTTTTGGTATAAGAGGAACTTTCAGTAGTTCACTTATTATTATGCTTTAATCCAGTGCCTAGTTATTATGTTGTTGTTGTGAAGTGTTTAAAGTATACATGTGTTTCTATAAGGTTCGTAATCCAGATGCGTGGTGGTCAGATTGTTCAGACTAGTGTTCCAGTTGCTGTAAGGACCATTTTCAGTTGCTTAGTTGTTAAGAACCAATGTCTTTTTGCTAATTGAGTTATTTCCAACGTGCCTTTATTGTATTAGGACCTAAGTTAGCAATTTTAGTTGTTGTAAGGCCTTTGTACAGACCATAGTTCAGTTCCTTTAATTGGAAGGTGGTTGTAGGGGCATGAGGGAAAGTGAGGAGGAGAAAGGGATTAAAGGGTGGTAATGGTGAGAAGGAAAAACTGAAAGAGAGGAAAAGACCCTGAACAGTGAATTGTGCTTTTGGATTCTAACCATGCGTTGTTTGTGGTGATGGATTCACGCATTAGGAGAGCCACTCCTAGAACTTGAAGCATGTTAAGGTTTTTTTGTCCACTCTTGCAATACTAGTTGCTGTGCTCAAGGATAGATGTAAAAATTCCCTTCTTTCTCTCTGATTTCGGTGCTAAACCCAGTTACAATGTGGGCACCCTTGGAATTATGTTATCATTGGTTCCAGCCCCGTTAACATCTCAAGAAGTACAACACCCAAACTGTAAACATCATTGTATCTTCTTCTGCTTTAGTTTTCAAAGGGTTTCTTTAGCCTTGTTTTTTAACGCAACTGATATATCAAATATTCATAGGTATATGTTCTTAGTCCTCATATATATATGTTGAACTGTTTTTCGTAGTCATTGTAAGGGAATGACTGTTTAAGCTGTATTTTGGGTAAGACTGATGTGCGAGTAACTTTGTTCTTCTTGAACTTTCAATTTCACATCCCCTGCAACACATTAACCAATTTTGTTACAGCATTGATTGATTCAATTAATCAACAGATTAAGCACATTGTGTCTGCAAAATCTTCACTTTGTTGAAATTCACTAAATGTTGATTACCTAACCAAATCCAATCATCGATCATTTAGCAAGCACAACACATACATCCCTACAAGCCTATATACTTCGAAGCTGATTTCTGAGATTAATTTTCCAGCTTTCTCATCTTAGAATTCCATTCTCATTAAACATAACTTTCTGACTAATAGGGTCTTCGACTGTCACATTCGTGGATTTACATTCTACCCCAACATTGTGAAGGAAAGGGCTTTGAATCCCTTTCAAGCTATTGGTGTGATTATTTGTTTCCCAAAATTAAATTCTGAATATTGATAATGGAATGAAATCTAATGAACAAAGCTAACCACAAAAACAATTTAGAACTCTAAATTTGGCTATAGGAGTTGCCAATTTGAACATTTTTTCTTGCTGGACAGCCTTTTGAATTGACCAAATTCATGCTCCTTCTCCACTTCCTTAGATGCCACATTAGTTGGAAAAGGTTTGTAAACTAGACTACACCTCAAAGTCTTTAGAACACCACAATTTCACACATTAAATTAGCACCAAAGCAGATAAAAAACTGCACCAGAAGTGGTCACTAGGACAGCACCAAAATCTGACTTGAATTGGTCAATTTGAACATGCCAACAAGCTTAAAACTAATAGAAATAGGTGTAAAAGAAGTATGCACTCAAATGGATTCAAGAAAGTTCTTCCAACGAGAGAAAGAAAGCAAGGAAGAAAAACTAAAACATGTTTTGC